ATCGCAATCCTCCTATGTACATACAACAACCTTCCGATCAATCATTGACAAGGAAGTAACCGGAAACATTCCCACCCCGGCTCGACACGGGCTAAGGGATCCTTTCCAGGAGACAGTCGAGATGTTTTTTCCCAACACATGGGCTAGGCGTCCTCCTCCCAGATACGACGGGCAGGTGACCTCGCACTGTTTATGCATTCATCAAAGGCACTAAAGGTGAGACGCCCCTGGCGGTGTAACACACTAGACTAGGGTTCTCAGGCATACTAAAGTTATTGACACGAACATTTATACGAAATAACGAAATGCGACAATTATAGATACACAAACTGTACACACCTAGAAGCAGCGATAAACCGTAAACCTAACCGATGGACAAAGAAGTACATGTTGGTTTACCAGGCAGATGAGTTGCTTCCGTTGGGTTACACCGATTCTGACTTCCAGGCAGACCGGGACGAAAGCAAGTCAACCTCAGGGTTTGTGTTTACTTTAGTAGGAGGAGCCATAGTATGGAGGAGTGTCAAGCAGAAATGCGTGGCGGACTCAACCATGGAGGCTGAGTATGTAGCAGCCTCAGAGGCAGTGAAAGAAGCTGTCTCGCTCAGGAATTTTCTCCTCGACCTTGATGTGGTATCGAGTTTGCCCACTGCAATCACAGTGTTCTGTGATAACAGCAGAGCAGTAGCAAATTCGAAGGAACCACGGACTCATAAAGCGAGTAAACACATAGAGCGCAAGTACCACCTGATACAAGAAATAGTTGGACGAGGAGAAGTCGTTGTTGCTAAGATACAATCAGAGGACAACCTAGCAGATCCTTTACGAAGAGCCTACTGGCGAAAGTCTTTACGAGACACGTAGAAGGAATGGGAGTCAGATGTAAGGGCAACATAGTAGACTAGTCTTTGAGAATTAGATTGAAAGAAATTGTGGTTATTTTTGTTTAGCCATGAGCTTATAAAGCATAAGTGGGAGATTGTTAGAGGTATGTTGTGAAAGCTGTGTTTTGCAGATTCTATCAATTCCATTTTGATCTGGCAATCATGTTTCGGTCAAAGTACATATGTTTGCAGTTTATTTATTTATGCAATACATACTCCATGTCTTATATTGAGGTAGTGTGGTTCGAAGAGTTTCGAACAGAAAGATCACCTATCAGTTCCTTATAAGACTAAACTATTTGTTCACAGTCTAGACTGGCAGGAAACCCTAAAGCACTGTAAGTAAACCTCTCTCTCTCTCCAAAATTCCCATTGAAGGTTCATTCACCTATGCAGGAACCTGTTCGTAAAACTCATTATAACGTTGTCCCTATCTATCATTACTGTGGTATAACTGGTCACATAAGACCCAAATGTTATAAAATGCAGCATGATCTTTGTATAGGTAATGTTAGAAGCTGGAATCAGTCTGGCATTCCCGTGAATGTTCATGGCAGAACCGTCCCAAATAACCGCGCTAAAACTCATCAAGTGTGGGTTGCTAAGAAATCCTTCAAGTGTTTTGCCTCTGTTCTGTCTCTCAGGACTTCCTTGAAAGGTAAATAGTATCTGGACAATGGGTGCTCTAGACACACGACTGGTGAACCTTCATACTTAATGAATATTCAGTCAGGTACAAGTGGGGAAGTCACGTTTGGTGACGGTGTGAGCAATAAGGTCATTGTAACAGGTTGCTTAAATTTGGGTGGGTTACCTGAATTAATTGGTGTATTACTTGTTGATGAACTAAAGGCAAATCTCTTGAGTGTAAGTCAATTCTGTGATCAAGGCCTTAGTGTCAGTTTCTCATGTGATAAGTGCTATGTGAAAAACAGTGAAGGTTCTTGTGTACTTACAGGTTCTCGTTCAACTGATACCTGTTATCTTATTGATATTAATGAAAAATGTTTTTTTTTCAAATGTGAACCTGAGATCTGGCATCAACGCTTGGGGCATATTGGATATTCTCACCTTGTCAAATTAACCAATGCACGTGCAGTCAGGGGCGTTCCAAAGATTACTATGAAGGACCAGCCAATTTACGAACCTGGTCAACTAGGTAAGCAAACTCGGACATCCCACAAGTCACTGAACCACATTACATCTAAACAGATCCTAGAACTTCTTCACATGGATCTTATGGGTCCCATTCAGGTAGAGAGCTATCAAGGTAAAAAATATATTTTTGTGTGCGTTGATGATTTCTCTTGATATACGTGGGTAGATTTCTTGTGTGAAAAGTCTAACACATTCTCTGCTTTTAAGTCACTTTGTTTGAAGGTTCAAATAGAGAAAGCCTTTCCCATAATAAGTATCTGAAGTGACCATGGAAAAGAATTTGAAAACTCTGAGTTTGCGGAATTTTGTGATTCTCTGGGTATTTGTCACGAGTTCTCAGCTCCTAAAACTCCACAGCAAAATGGAGTTGTTGAAAGAAAGAATCGTACCCTGCAAGAAATGGCCAGAGTCATGTTAAACTCTAAGAAGATTTCTTCTAGATGGTGGGCTGAGGCAGTCAATACTGCTTGCTACCTCATAAATCGAGTGTACCTTCGTCGAGGTAGTGGTTTAATGTTTTATGAACTCTGGAAAGGTAGGAGTCCGAATCTCAGTCACTTACATGTCTTTGGATGTAAATGTTATATATATAAAGATCGAGATCAAATTGGGAAATTTGACGCAAAATCTGATATTGGCTTCTTTCTTGGATATTTTAACAATAGTCGAGCATATCGTGTTTACAACACAAATACCTCCACTGTGTTAGAATCCATAAATGTGATTTTTGATGAGAAAATTTCCAATGTTGGTTTATCGGTGTCACTTAATCTGTGTGAAAGTGTGGAGAATGTGTAGGATATCAAAGATGGTGATCGTCCTATAGATGGTAGAACTTTTGAACGAACAAAGGGATCTGAAGAGTTAGAAGAACCTCAGACAGAATATTCCATTCCTGTCTCACCCGGAAGTCCAGCTCAACTTAAGCGTGATCCTCCCTTGAAGGTTCAAAAAGACCATCCATCAGAACTGGTCATTGGAGACATCAACAAGAGAGTTACCAGGAACTCAAAGACTTCAGACAAAGAACTTATGGAGTGTCTCAATTCGCTTGTTACATGTTATCACCCGACTCGGTAAATTGTAATTAAGGGCCCAAAACAGCACCATACGCAAATTCTACTCGGATACCGATGTAACTTAGAGTCATCCAGGTTCGCACCATAAACCGGTGCAACCCTAAAAGATCGAAGTGACCCTCTCCCGTCGAAGTCGTTCTACACCGAGGTCAACACGTACCGAAGTCAACACGTACCGAGGTCAACACGTACCGAGGTCGTCCCCTTCTAAAGCAGGTGACGAGGCGCCTACACTCCCCCGTCACAAACTACGAGATTTGTCATCATTCACGTAGGGCCCATTGATCCAACCGCCCTTCGAAAGTAGCTTTTTGTATCAAAACGATGCACGTATCCCGATGTATGAATAAAAAAGTTACTATAAATAGATAGCCATTGACATCTGTAAGGGGATTTGATGGGGAACCCAACATTTTTACAATGAAACACGGAGCAGCCCATAAAGGCTTTTCACCTCGGTCCACTTCGGACCGGGGCCACTGTTGAGGTTTTCTTGCATGTTTTACGTCCAAACCATTTGAAATCATCATATAAACTCCACATTACATCGTTGTTAAGAATCATACGACAACAGTTTGGCGCTAGAGAAAGGGCCCTCATAAGTGTTTTGAGGTTACTTCCATTTCAGCTACCATTTCAGCTACACCAAACATGTCTCATTCTGATAATCGCGGCCATACCTCACGCGATGGTCACAGTCGTAGCGCTGTGAAATCCGCCAGACGACACGCCGTAGCTCTCCCTATACCAGATTACACTGTTCTGTTTCAAAATCCAGAGTTTGCGCGTGGTTTCGCCGCTCTGATGGCTCAAACGATTCCCGGAACATCCACGACTGCCCCGGGACATTCTATAATACCAACGACTCCTGCAAATCCACAGAATCCACCAGCACGGCAAGACGGCGGAAGGACCACATCTCACGCCACGTCTCAACCCCGCAGTCGAGCGTCACAACCGCCTCCGGAACAAACCACACGTCGCACCGACATCGGGCGCAATCTCCCTATACTTCCTCACGAAGAAACTGTCGAAAGCCAGTCTGGTCATTCACGACGGTCACCGCCTCATACGCGGCACCGAAACCCCTCCAACCCAGCGCAGACCGACCTTCAGCAACACATAGAATGAAATCGGGCTCGTCAAGAGTCATCCGAACTTGAAACATTGCGACGGAGAATTGCTGAATTGGAAAGTCGGCAACGGGCACCCGAAGACCCCCCCTCGGCGGGCCTCAACCTCGGCGCAAGTATATTTAGAAGCCGACTCCCCTCTCACTCCGGAGCTTACGTCAGAATCCATACTTGGGAAAGTTAAAGTCCCTCAAATAGGGCTATATGATGGAACTTCGGATCCCGATTCGCATCTCGGTCATTATACCTCGTGGATGGATCTGAGGGGCCTCCGACGCACTTCGGTGTCGCATGTTTTCCCTCACCTTGGGACCAAGGGCCCAAAAATGGTACCACTCTCTTCCTCCTCACTCTATTTGGAAATGGCAATAATTAAGGTCGGCGTTCCGCTCGCATTTCATCGGGGCCCAAGTCTGCCTAATTCCAAAAGAATCTCTTGCAAACGTAACCCAAAAATATGATGAAAGTGTCAAGGACTATATCGCCCGATTTAACGATCGAGTCCAGAACATGGAGCCTTGTCATCCCGAAACCCTGCTTGTCATGGCTATTGCCGGGCTGAAACCGAATTTGATTTTCCGCTGGACATTATGTCACAATAAACCAAACACCTTTCAAGAATTTCTTGCTAGAGCTTAGCAGCACATTATAGCCGAGGAAGCCATGTCGGTCCCTGACTTTAATTTTAACCCGAAGTCATCCACGGCGGGAACCGATGAGGAAAAAAAAAATTTCGAAAAACAAAGCAAAACTCAGTTCAGAGGACCTCCTCGTGGAGATCCTAACGATCCTGAAATTCGAGCGGCTCGAAAACAGTATGCAACCGATGTGAAGTCTGGTTATCAAACCGTATATTCCACAGGGGCAACCACCATATATGAAGAAATCAAAGGGAAAGGTATCTTACCGGATCCCAAACCACTTCGGATGCCTGAAGAGAAATTGGATAAGTCCCGATATTGTGATTATCACAAATCGCCAGGGCATAATACAGATGAATGTTTAAGTTTGTTAACTGCCCTGTTGCGTTTAATTGGTCATCCGCAGCTTAGAAAATTCTACCTCAATACCGACCCTCAGAAAAGGGGTCCAGGGCGTCAGATTGAATCATATGATGAAGACGACGAGGAGGACCGCGGCGCCATGCCAAAACGCATCCGGAAAGGAGACAAGGAAGTATTCATGCTCACCTCGGAAACCCCCACTCCCAACTTTGTTGGAGCTTCCCGAGGACGTAAGCGAGATCGATCTCCTGAACCGATGCAAATCACCGTCCACCGTGTCAACACTAACAACTCCCGAAGTACATTGTCCCGTCGACAAATTAAAGCCTATGCCCGACAAGCGTACAACTCCGGCAAACAAGTTTACACCACCGATTTGAGAGACATTCTCAACAATCAAAACTGTCCCATAACCTTTAATATGGAGGACGCCAATCATTTCGCACACCCTCATTCTGATGCGCTTGTTATCACTGTCCCTATATGTGGAATTCCCGTTCATCGCGTTATGGTAGATACTGGGGCCTATTCGAGCATTTTGATGTTAAAAGCTTTCGACAAAATGGGTCTCGATCCCGCCGACATCCGACCTTGCAATGACCAAATACAAGGATTCAACGGAAGTATTTCAAAGCCTATCGGCGAGATCACTTTACCAGTCAGATTTGGCACTTCAGAGAACGTCACCAAGCTCGTCATGGAGACTTTCAAAATTCTTGATATCAACAACGAGTATAATGCCATCATTGGTAGAACAGCATTGTATAAACTTCGAGCTGCGGTTTCGATCTTTCACTACGCACTAAAATTCCCGACTACACGAGGAGAAGGGACGCACTTCGGAGACCAGAGAGAAGCTCGGGAACTTATCACCTTCATACCATCCAGCGCAATTCATTGCACCTCGGCGGATGATACTAAAAATTCTCCCTTACAGAACATCTCGGACGACGCAGTGTCCGAAGAACCCAACCATAACGTCATTGCTTTGCCCACCTCGGATCCTTTAACCGAAGACCGAGGTCAATGACCTGGAAAGAAACCACTCCTTGAGGAGGACGAGCTGGACCCGAGGGCTCAATTCAAGGACAAAAGCCGAAATGATCGAGCCGAACCTGGAGAAGAAGTAGAATTAATATTCATCGATGAACCAATCTTTCATAAATCATTGCGCATCGGAAGTCATCTTCAAGAACCTCTCCGGTCAGATCTTATTTCATTTCTCAAACACAATTCTGATGTTTTTGCCTGGAAGCACGAAGATATGAAGGGCATCAACCCCAGTGTCGCTAGTCACAAGTTGAACCTCGATCGAACCGTCCGGCCTGTTGTTCAGAAACGAAGGAAACTGGGGCCAGATCGTCAGAAAGCATTGGAAGAAGAAGTTAAGAAACTCATCGATAACAAATTCATCAAAGATGCCAAGTATCCGACATGGGTCTCAAACCCCGTTCTTGTCAAAAAGAGCAATGGTCTGTGGAGACTGTGTATTGATTTTTCCGACTTGAACAAGGCATGTCCGAAGGACAGTTAACCACTCCCACACATAGACTACATGGTTGACGCCACATCGGGACACGAGTTAATGAGTTTTATGGATGCATACTCCGGTTATAATCAGATTCCTATGGATCCCGAAGATTCTGAACACACCTCGTTTTATTCGGCACGAGGTCTGTACTGCTATACCATGATGCCGTTTGGATTGAAGAACGCCAGAGCCACTTACCAACGCCTTGTCAACAAAATGTTTGCCACGATGATTTGTCATACTATGGAAGTTTATGTTGATGACATTCTTGTCAAGTCGGTGCACGCTTCAGATCATATAACACACCTTCAAGGCATGTTTGATATCCTCCGATCTTATTCCATGGTTTTAAACCCCAAAAAATGCACCTTCGGAGTTAAGTCTGGAAAGTTTCTGGGCTATATGGTCAGCCAGCGCGGAATTGAAGCCAACCCGGCCAAGATAAAAGCAATTCAAGATCTGACTCCCCCGACTTCGGTTAAGGGTGTTCAGGCCCTAACTGGCCGACTCGCTGCGCTCAACCGGTTCATCTCCAAATTTACAGATCGTTGCCGACCTTTCTTCGAAGCAATCAAAAGTGGAAAGCGCTTTGAATGGACCGAAGAATGTCAAAAAGCTCTCATCAGCATGAAGGAGACACTCGCCTCTCCACCGACGTTACAAAAGCCGAAACCCGAGGAAATGCTATTTTTATACCTTGGGGTCAGTGATTCTGTGATCAGCGCTGTTTTGGTACGTGAAGAAGGAACGCTGCAATCACCCGTTTATTACATCAGCAAAGCCTTACATGATGTCGAACTGCGCTACCCTCCTATGGAAAAGTTAGCGTTTGCACTTTTAATTGCCGCCTGAAAATTGCGACCCTATTTCCAAGAACATTGTATAACCGTCCGCACTTCGTATCCATTGCGCCAAGTCCTGCACCGACCCGACACCTCGGGACGCATGATAAAATGGGCCATCGAGCTCGGACAATTTGACATCCATTATCAACCGAGGACCACAATTAAAGCACAAGCCTTATCCGACTTCATCGCCGAATTCACTCCGGCAATAACAGTTAATGATGATAATCAACCGTGGGTTCTTTATATTGACGGTTCCTCAACAGCCAACCGAGCAGGTGCAGGAATAGTCCTGGCAAACCCAGAAAACCGATTATTCTGCCAGTCGGTGAAATTTCTCTTCCCGGCAACAAACAATGAAGTCAAATACGAGGCCTTGCTATCCGGATTAAATCTGGCTGAATCTATGAATGTGAAACAACTAAAAATTTTTTTAGACTCTCAGCTCCTCGTCAATCAAATTAATGGCTTGTACGAAGTTAAAGAACCTCGGTTGACCCCGTATCTATCTTTGGCAAAAAAGAAGTTGTCAAAGTTCGCTGCCGAAGTAGAGCACATTCCACGAACCCCCAACGTCCACCAATCTCCCGAGGAGCTTAAATCAATTTATAGTCCGTGGCCTTTCGCCAAGTGGGGGATCGATCTCATAGGTCCCCTGCCAACCGAAAAAGGAGGCGTCCGATTTGCTATCGTGGCAGTTGATTATTTTACTAAATGGGCCGAGGCCGAACCATTAGCCACAATAACCGAGCAGAAAGTCGTCGATTTTGTGTGGAAATCAATCATCTGCCGTTTCGGGGTGCCGAACTCCATCATTACCGACAACGGTAGACAATTTGAAGGCAAACACTTGAGTCCCTGTGTGAAGAATACAACATCAAAAACTTTTTCTCTTCACCTTACCACCCGCAATCCAACGGTCAAGTTGAAGCTGTGAACAAGCTTATAAAAAATGGACTTAAGGTCTGACTCGATGCTGCCAAAGGAGCTTGGCCCGAAGAATTGCCACATGTTTTATAGGCATATCGGACAACCACCCGAACTTCCACCGGCGAGACCCTGTTCTCACTTACATACGGATCGGAAGCCGTAGTCCCAGTCGAACTCGGTGAACCTACGTACCGAATTCAACAATTTACCGAAGAGTCCAACTCAGATAACTTGAAAACCAATCTGGACTTGCTTGAAGAACATCGTACCCGCGTCGAGCTCAAAAATGCTGCTTATAAATACCGGAGCGAAAGATACGTTAATTCTAAATTCAAGCCGCGTACGTTCCGAGTTGGAGATTTAGTCCTTAAACGTATAACGGGAGCCGACCCCAGTCCACTCAAACCGAGGTGGGAAGGACCCTTTCGAACTATTGATGTCCTACCTCATGGGGCCTACCAAATCGCTCACCCTGATGGAACTCCACATCAATATCCATGGAATGTTGTTTTTCTGAAGAAGTTCTATCAGTAAACGGTCCGAAGTCGGATGTCCGACTCTTCTTTTGAACGGATCTTCCTTTTGTTTTACTGAATGTACTAAGTGACTCTTTTGATATACCAAAAGTCTATTGGCTTTCACTTTTGGAAATCCGAGCATCAACTCGGTACCGATGTATAACATTTCGAAACTCGGTTGTACAAATAACTTGTACCGACGTAAGCATTGCGACACTCGGTCTAGCTGATACCTCGTAATCTATCCGAATCCTACGCACGATTTGGTTGGGGATTGAAGCTCGTCAAACGTCATTTCAACGAACATGATTTGGCGGGTACCGAAAACTACCGAATACAAAAGATATAAATCGGTTGGGGCCATTCCATAATCGAACTCTGACGAAGTTCGGTGAACTCTACTTTATTTTATGCACAGCCCGAAAATGTGTTAAGTCATGCGAATTCCTAGTAAGTTCGCATAAACAACTTGCACTAGTGGCTGAAATTATTAAAAAAAGACCCAAGTGGAACTCGGAAGTTATTTTTACACTAAATCCACAACTTGGTTCGTAATATGACTAGATCCAAGTTGCGGTAATTCATTTTAAAACCCGTACTGAGTTCAGAACACGGAAAAATCGCTGAAATTCGTACAGCAAACTTAAATCAAAACAGACATTATGCAAACACATCATATGTAATCTTAACAAGTCGGGAAAACCCTTACATATTTCCTACTAAGGGAATCAACTACCTGATATCCCCAATTACATATTCATATGTTTCTTACTAAGGATGCCAACATGTTGGCACCCCGATATTTTATTTCAAAAATTAATAAGTGCAACAATATATAATACTTCTAAACTTCACGCCGCGTCGGTCGCCTTCTCCAAATTGCCGCCCGTACCACTACCTTCCCCGACTTCGGTCCCTGAAGTCAATCGCTCCAAGACCTGCACCTCCTTTGCCTTGGCAGCAATCTCGATGGCTCCATCTGACACCGGGACAAACTCATCACGAGGATCCTGCACCTTATCTGAATCACCCTCAGCCGGCGTAACAACCTTGACAACTTCGACCTCCTTGTCGGTCGACTTAGCCTTTTCCTCAATATAGGCCTTAACCCTGCTCTGAATCTGCTCCGGGGTCATATCATCAAAGTGCTGTTCGACCTCCACATCGGCAAGAGTTCAGAGATATACGTCGGCCAGCTCCTTCCTTTTCTCTTTCTCTCCCTCCAAAATCATATTAACATAAGCACGTCGGAGGAGAGCAGCTCTATCCTCAGAAAGTGGCGGCAGGTCAGGGTTCGCATTCATCTCTTCAGATCGGCGGAGCATCCAAACACAAAATTCCCGTTCATCCTCATCAGCCTCCACGTGCATCCCCTTTATCTCGGTGTCAAAGCCATATTTTACGAGTTTGCGGAATAAGAATAAACGGATATCGTGGATGTCATAATAACCCGCATCATAACGCTCGATAACCCATCGGAGATTCAAGCAGGTATTCATTTCAATTTCAAGGTCAGGCCCACCAACCTCATCGTCCTCACCAGCGTCAACAGCTTCGGCTTCGGTATCATCAACGGACTTTGGTTCCACAACTGCAACAGTCTCCTTACCGGCTTGGAAGCCGATCTCGTACATGGTCTCACCATAAGACGACTTCTTTTTCAAGCTTTGCCATCTCGGCCTGATGGGCATCCCTCTGCCGACCTACAAGCTCGCGGACCTCGGTACACTCCCTGCGAGCCGCTTCATGTCCACCCTTTCATCTAACAGAGGCCTACTAAAACATGTGGCACCCTATTAAAGCCGACCGTTACCTCATTTAAGACCATTACGGCGCGACCATTCGCATTAACATTAAGTTGTCGACCGTTACGTCTGTTTATATTCCTCCTGTTATTCCCCCAGACAATAACAGATTTTCGCCAAGTGTTTTCATCTC